TTTGAGCAAATTAATTCCCCAAAGGATATAATAATTAAAATGTGTTATTAGTAACAGGGTGGCTTTAAACATTTTGTTGGACAAATGTAGCTAATTACAGAAGATGTGCAGAAGCTCAGAAATGTTGAGCAGAACAGGGGTCCACCCTGATAATCAGCTATACCTTCCATCATGTTTAAACAGTTTTTACAGAATTTTCGTTGTTAAAGGCATCATAAATGTCTAGAATAAACATAGCATTTTGCTGGAGATAAAATATACAGAGAATATTTGTAAAAATACCAAGCTCATCAGCCTAGCTAACCTTAACTAGAATGAAGCAGAGCATTCCCTATTTCTGAGCTTGAAGTGTAGGGTTTTTTTAATGATTGGCTAGAAGCACAAGAAAGGTTCACATAAAATTCAGTCTTCCATATCTCACTGCTAAGAAACATCCCTAGGATTATTGCCAGCTTGTAAACTATCACGTTAATCATTTCTCTGCTATGGTTACCAGTCAATAGTAGCATTTAGTAACTGGGAAACTATGTTACTAAATGAATGCTTAGATTTATTAGATTTATTTGGCAACATGAAATGTTAGTTTAAATTAATAGAGTATAGTTTGAAGATTTAAAATATAATATTAAAAAATATATAAGCTAGCCATATTAATTATCACCAAATAAAACTTACCAGCTTGTTCAGAAAAGAAATACCAAAGACTAGCTAATATTATACAATTTGCCCAAGCAGAGCTTATTGAAGAAATATTGCATGCTTGGATGGGGTCTGTCTATATAACCAGGTAACTGTAGATTAATAACGAAGAGAAGGAGGGAGTCAGAATTACTGAGATGGCCATGTTTATTTCTCATTTTTTTATGGTGTTGGTTGCTACTTTAGCCTTTGTATCATGATTAACTAAAGTGATGGTTATTATACTCTACATTTTCATACCAGCCTATCTCTGCATTCCACAATTAGTTTAATGCAAAAATGATAACATCTATATTTCTTCTCATTATCATTATTATTATTAGCTCTCATTATTATCTATATTTCTTCTCATTATTGATATTTGTTAGAAGTCAAAATAATTTCATAAAATGTGATATATACACACACATATATATATATATATATATATATATATATATATATATATATATATATATATATATATATATATATATATATATATATATATATATATATATATATATATACAGAGAGAGAGAGAGAGAGAGAGAGCACTACATTATAGTACCACAAGAAACTGCATTGCAATACATTACAATGTACACAATCCACAAAGTTTCAAATGTCGCTTTGAAAGCTTCCTGCATCTTCCTGTGCTATGACATTTGACTATGTAAAACCCAGTCACAAGGTCCATCATACTGATAACTGCCTGCATGCATACATTACTAGACAAGCCTCATGTTAGCAAAGTATGTCATATTTTCATACAAAGTAAGTATATTTTTTTGAACCAGCTGGACTTAGTTCCACGAGTGTGCATGACTATCCTTGAAATCATATCTGTCTGCAGTTTCCAAGCCCTTGCAAACAGATGAAAGATAAACACCAAGATGGAGGGATCAATTTGACCTCAGAGAAGCCTCTCTCTCTGTTTCCGCCTCTCTAACAGGACACCGTGAGACAAATGTAGCCACAGTACTATGGATCTCCAACTTGCTGTAATCTCCTGTACATTAATTATTGAGCTCAGGAGGTGGGGGTGGGTGTACATTGGTGGAGCATATAACATCAAGGGTGTCATTGTCATCGGAACATGTGTGTAAATTCATGCATGTGCCTGTATTTGAATCTTTATGTAATAAACTGGTATGAATTTGTGTCAAAATTCATCTGCCTTCTACCCCGCATACTGTACAGTGTATACCTGCATATAGTGGTTGGTGGTGCATGTGTTTTCAGACTGGTGCACATTTCTGTGTTTTCTAGACAGTTGGTATGTCTGAAATGTTGCGATCACCTGAGATTTAGCCTAGCATCTAATTAACACTGTAAGACTATGTGAAAAACAGATGGGGAAATTTTAATTTGACCCTGTATCCTGAGGATTGTTTCCACTGAAAGCATAAGGCAGCAGCAGTAATGCAGCTAATTCAGCACTTTGTTTTAGTTACTAGTACTAAAACTATAAACTCAAACAAAATTAGTTACAACCTAGTACAATTTTGTACACAGTCTCCTGCCAAAGTGTTTTTGGAGCTCTGGCACTGGAGATGCTCTTTCTGTGTTCTACCCTTCATGTGCCTTCTACCTGGTGGGCTGTTTGTGGCTCAGTGGCGTAGCTGCTTATTGCTTATTGTTCTATATTACATTCCCATCCGTTTTACATAGTTGTGCTCAAATAAGTGGATAAGAAAGAACAAGTTGGACAAGGAGACACTGCAAATAACAACTAGAAACTATACATAGATACACTTGCACTGGAGACTTCGAGCCCTATGGGGGTACAAAACTCAAAGTTGTGCTATGATTCATATGTTCAGAGGTGTGGGCTTTCAAGCTTCTATATAAAACTGTTCTTTAATGTGCTATAGGAACAGAGCTGTCATTTAGCTCAGAAATAAGACCAATAGCTCCTGAGATCAAACGTATGCTAACTCTTTTCTTGCATTGAGCAGAGACGTGATTGCTCTGAGGACTGTTTTCCTTAATTGCACTGAGGACTGCTGTCCTTAATTGCACTGAAGGACTATTGTCTCTTCATGGCTATGCTTCATCAAGTGATTTCCTGAATGAGAGAGTCATCAGTGCCCATGGAGTAGTGAACATGGATCAGGCAGTGTCTGCCTCTGATCTGGGCTTTAATCATTGTATTGACAGGAAAATTGGCTATAAAAGATAATTGACTATAAAAGGAGAATTAGGAGATGAAGGAGAGAGGAAAGATTAGGCCAGGAAAGAAAAGCAGGCACAAGAGAAGAAGAAGACTTACTTTCTGACATTTAAGTGGCTGGGATGTGCAGGTAGTAAAGATTAGGAGTAATGAATCAGGCCAAAAATAGGCTGAAAAGACAAAAAGTGAGAGATAAATAAGCCAAATCAGCCAACGACTAAGAAAGACTGTAGGTAAGGAGTGAAGGAAACAGAGGTCTGGGGAAAACAGTGGAAGAAACAAGCAGGTAGTGTAAGTGCCACACTAGTGGCAGACGAGCATTCCCCGTCATCATAACCTGGTGAGCTGTGAGCAGGTTGTCATGGAGATGGTGGGCGGGACGGTGTGATCTTTTCATGGCAGTGTTCACACGCTCTTATGCCAGCAAGGGAACCCTGCACTGTGTTTGCCAGAGCTGGAGCAGTCTCAAAATCCACAGACAGACATACTGTTATAGCACACAAAAATGTGTCCAAATAATTTAAAAAATATTTCTGAAAAATCCAATCAGTCTCACATTGAAGGAACACATCTGATGCTGGGATCATTTTACACTGATGTAATATGGGGAAAATCCATAACAATAAGGGCCCTACAGTGTGGTCAGAGATATGCAGAAATACCTTGTGCTATGCCACCCAACTGCCTTTTAGTGGCAGTGATAAGAGCATAAAGCACAAGAGCCAGTCACTTGATCCTGCATGTAGTAGAATATACACTTCTGTAGTACCATCTAGGATTACAGGAAAAGGCCAGACATTCTTATATCCTTTTGACTCTAAAAATGAGCTAGCTGTTTTTTGCAAAACATAATTAGCAAAAGCAATTAAGAACATGTAAATTATTATATTTAAATTGGGTCCTCATGTAGTAATACCACTTCCAACTGGGGAGCCATGGTCTATAGATTGACAGTATTTGGTCTAGATAATTTATGTTATCCACCACTGATTTTGGAGTAATAATGAGTCAGTGTGGCTATTGAGTCAAGCAGGAAAGAAAAAATACTATACAATCATATGAGCACAATAAGCAACCAATAGCGACAGATGGGAATTATATTTGTGATAACTTTATTGGACTTCATTGATAAGGAATAGAAATTAATGACTATTAAATATAACCCTTGGAATAGGAATAAAGCATTATAAATCAAATATCTTATAAACAAAAATAAGATATATACAGTAGGATTAGTAGCTTCTACTGCAAGCAGCTCTTTCGAGCTCAGCAGCCAAGTATAGATAAGAGCTGAAATTAGGTTTACAGGCTAAATACTTAGCTTTAATAGGGAGTTACATGAGAATTCTGCCAACATTTTTAAATACAAATCTCCTAGCCAGATTGCTACCTTCCCCTTATTTGCTCTCCTGGTATTATTTATTTTCAGGTCTACCCAGCTGCCTACTACACACAACCTCAGCTCACTGTATGCCCACTCATCCTTACATCTGTGGTGTGTTTACTTGCAATCCTTGCATCTGGAGAAAAGCCTCAGAGTCTGTCCAGGCTTCCCACCAGTTCTCAGCACAGCTAGTGCGCTATCGAGTTCTCATCCTGTTTGTTTGAACCACTGTTTGAGTGAGCTTATTACAGGCGCACTGAGTCATTTTACTGTGGGATATCAGATGAACAGCTAACTTTCTGAGTTCCACTGGGTCTCAGTTTAAACTTGCACCTTGTGTGCAGTATTCAAAATATTCACTGAGATGACAGTCATCTCATGATCTCCTTTTGAGGGAACTGGGGTTTAACAACCCTTATCACTGTGCATTGTGTGAGAAACAGGGTCATCGTGACTGAGGTATTCACCAACAAGAATGAACGAGAAGCACTTTAGTCTCAGCCTCAGACACTCCACTCATTGGATGCAAAGCAAAGCATCTGTCTGATATCTTTAGTACTCTTCTGGCCATTATCTTCAGGATCTTGAAGATTGCAATTGTCTGATATCTTTAGTCCTCTTCTGGCCATTATCTTCAGGATCTTGAAGATTGCAATTGGATTGGCTCTCTGTACTTTTGTGCACCAGATTTCAGTGGGAGAACGAACCTTTGAACAACATAACACAACAACAACAGGTTTGTGGTAGTAAAACAGTAAGTAGGGCAGTGGTGGTTCAACGGTTAAGGCTCTGGGTTACTCATCAAGAGGTTGGGGTTCAAGCCCCAGCACTGCCAAGTTGCCACTGTTGGGCCCTTGAGCAAGGCCCTTAACCCTCTCTACTCCAGGAGTGATGTATCATGGCTGACCCTGTGCTCAGACCCCAACTTCCTAACAAGCTGGGATATGTGAAGAAAATAATTTCACTGTGCTGTAATGTATATGTGACAAATAAAGGCTACTTCTTAGCCACATTTATTGACAAAACGTACCAGATTCTATAGCAAACCTAGAGGTCTGGCTTGAAAGCACCTTAACCTTGAAGAGAAGAGAGGAGAGGAGGAAGTGGTACTAAATCTGTGCCCTAGAATATTTCTGGGGAAAAGTGGAGATGTAAAATTAGAGCCCCTATTAGTATCACCACAAATTTTGTCACAGGCCATGAGAGGTGCAGAGCAATAATGAGAGAGGGACAAAAATACACACACCAAGTTCCCACTGTGGCGCTCGACTCTCCGTGTACCTGCTAATGAGAACATACCAACGCCTAGGAGGTTTCAGGCCTTCCAAACCATTAAGTTACCAACATACCAACTTCACACACATGCACATGTTATTCATTTATTTATTCATTCATCAATTCATTTATTCATCTTCAATGTCTTTTTTTATCCTGGTCAGAGTTGCGGGAACACTGGGCATTAGGCAAGAATTCACCCTGGATGTGACACCAGTCTATCCCAGGACACCATACACACACATTAACACACTCATTCCCACCTAGGGACAATATAATGTAGCCAATCCACCTACCATCATGATTTAAGAAGGTGGTAGGAAATCAGAGAACCCAGAGGAAACCCATGCTGTGATAGGGAGAACATGTACGCATGTATTAGTTTTACTGCACAGGTAGTTCCATTAATACACTACTATACTATAATACTATAATACAAAAAACTTTCCCCCAGTTATTGCATACAGCTGCAAGCACACAACATGGACTGTACATGTACACACTTACACACAGCTGGCTATGGGAATGGCACTTCTGAAGCACTGTCACACTGTCACACCTTTAGAAGAATTATGCTGCTTCTGTGCACTTACTTACCACTGACTGCTTCCACAGAGACGGAAGACCCGTGTGTGTGTGTGTGTGTGAGTGTGAGTGTGACGGCAGTAATGGTCCATTAGGGCAGGACACTCTCTCAGTCACCTGCAATGATTGTGGTGCTAACAATCCCATCAACCTCATCAACTGTGGCCAGCTGGTGGATGTAGGTGTGTGAAGCAGGCGAGAGGACACACTACAGCGAGTGCAGTAGAGGTAGTGCATGTGTGGACTCCATCAGAGTAACCATAAGTCTGCTGTACCAGTGTTCTATTGTGTCAAAGTTTTATATAGACCCATAACTAACAGGCTTTCTAATCTTACCCTACTAAATAGACAGTGTCACCAAATAAGCAACAAGGCTTCATCATCAAGGCCACTCCTGTCATATCACCAATAATTACTGTAAATCAAGCAGAGACCTAGACTGGCCTTCACTGTAGTTAGATAAATAAATAATGAATAAAGAGATCTAAAAGTAATGGCTTTCCATGCTGGGTAGAGGCCACAACCCTGTTGTGCCTAATTTATTTAGAAGGTTTGTAAGGGACTGAGTGGACAAGGACAGCTTTCTTCCTTGGTGGTATTATTACAGTGTTTCACAGAGGTGCAGAAGCACTATTTACTCTCTTTGTGGTTACTTTTTTCTCACTAATGAAAGCATTGCAGTGGGATCCTCCTTTGCACCAAAGCGCATTTCTGTCTGTCAGCCTGTAAATCTCTCTCTCCCTCTGTCTGAAAAAAGACAACTAGGCCATTTGTGAGTGCTGATGCCTGTTTTACAGTTGAGGCAAGAAAGAATATTGATTAAAAGGATGAGAGGAAAAGAAAAGAAGTGTGAAAATAAAACTCCTCTCTAGCTGCTCTCCCACGATTATGTGTGTGTGTGTGTTTACTGCTTCACTTGGGATCCTTGGTGATTACAATACGTGCTAAAATATATCTGAGAGTCTTTTTGTTCATAAAAAGCTTTATTTTTGTGACCCAAACAACCTCATTGAAAGGAACATTAAGCCATGCTTAAAATTTACACCACTGTGCCTAGAGAAGGAGCAGGAGAGAGATAAAAATACATACCATTAAGTAGACAACAACCGAAGCATAAGTAACAGGATTAGATCCTTCCATCTGTGATTCTTTAAAAACTAAACAGCATGGGCAGATCAGAGAGAGGGAAGAGAATTCCCTACTGACCCCCTGCTGACAAGAAGACTGTGAAGGTGAGAGGAACATAGAGGAACACACTGAATATAGACAGACACACACACAGGAAAAATACACCCTATGCCCAGTAACTGAGGCTCAGAGACAGCTGCGTCCTCTGAGGAAACTTCTTGTCCAAGACGGCTTTAAATAGTAATGCAATCCTATTATATTTATCCTCTGTCGTCCTTTGCCCTAGGTAGCCATGATGTTTCCACTCATTTATTACTACCTCCATCATTCACTTTCTCTCACCCACGATCCCGTAGTATCTCTATCTTCACTTGGCTCCTTGCTTCCCCTGTCTGGCTAAGCCTGCAGGAGAAGAAGTGCATTTCTTTATCTGTCCTTTATATCTCTCTTGCTGTTTCTAGGCTACAGATATTTTTGCTATTGATTCTAATCACACAAGTACTCCACATCTGCCCCCTTGCACTGATGGTGTATTAGCCTTACCAGCAGTATATGAGACACCATCCTATCTATTATACATTTTGAATTATACATTACATTGCTTATTCATATGAAATTATATGAGAAAGATTCATAGACAGACACAAAAAGCTCTCTGGGGCTGACAAACGCAAAACGTTTTTCCAAACACCAATGATTTCTTAAATACAGCTTTTGTTGCAAAAATTCTGTGTCATAAAATTGATTGGTCACATATGACCAGAAAACAAAATTCCAATGTAGCTCAAGTGATGGTGGAAAAGTTCAGGCACTGCATTTTATGAGTTGCTCTCAGGAGGAGCTTTTTACATGGCTGGTTCATATGGAGGTGGATCTAATAGTTTATTTTTGAAACTCTACAACACCAAAAAATCATCTTTTTTTTTCTTTACTCTTCCAGACTTTTGAAATCCAGGTTCATTGTGCTTTGTAACTGCTTGTGTATTTTCATCCACTAACTTCTTGTGTTGTTTTGAATGCTCTTTTTCCACGTGATGATTGATGACAAAGGGATTTTACATATGTGCAGTTTACTCAAGGAAACAGGAAATGGTCTAAGACAACAGCATGGAGAGTTCATAGAGAGTGAGAGCAATTTTAAAAAGTAAAAACATTTTTTCAAAGATAAACTGTTTAATTTATTTTAAATATTCATACTTGCCAATAAAAGTACAAAGACCTAAAGCAGTTATGCATGCCTAATCATTTAGCAAACAATACATGAACATAATCCTATCTGAGCTTGTGTCCACTCTCAAACAGTGATGACATTGAGAAAAAGGAAAGAGAAGGGGAAGATGAGGGGGAGAGAAGGGACGTGGCCTCCTCCCCTGCCTTGCAATCCTTCATGTAGCAGCACCTTTTTGTCTGTTTCTCACTCTCAATGTCACACACACACACACACATCTTCTGAGTGCAAAAGCCCCTTGAGAAGATGAAATAGTCAGGGGGGGGGGGGGGGGGGGGGGGGGGGGGGGGGGGGGGGGGGGGGGGGGGGGGGGGGGGGGGGGGGGGGGGGGGGGGGGTGGTATTGCCAGTAGGTGTGTGTGTGTGTGTACTAACTATACAGTGTAGTCCTTGTTCTACAGTGCCACAGAAATATACGGTCACACTTGAGTCCTCAAGAAGATGAGTGTGTGCTGTGAGATGCTGGTGTATCTCTCAAGACCGCTCCTGCATATTCTAGTGACCTACTACACTGACTCAGAGAGAACCCTTTCTCCCTCTCTCACACTCTCTGAAAGCACCCTGCAAATATTCACATTTCTCAGCTTGCTCTATCCTGTTCCTCCCAGGCCTCGATTAAGTGGTATTCTCTATAAGCACCAAATGTTGATTTTTACTTTATAAAATTTGTACACATTCTGCCTGCATCTAACTCAATAATCCAGTTTGATGTTAATATAGATATGTGTATACCATGTTTGTGTCTGATTCCACGTCATGAAGTATGTGACAAGACGATTTCCACCAAGGATTGTGTCCCTCTGACCTG